GTTTGTGGGGGGTGGGGGGGGGTGTGAGGCTGGCGCGGGGAGGGAGGGGTTGGAGCAGCCGGTGCAGCAGATGTAACCACCAGAGTGAGATGCACATTTCTTTTAAGAAAAATATATTTTAAAAATCACAGAAACTTCTTTTGAACTTGCTTCTGTCAACTGTGAAATAAAAATGACAGCAGCTAATGCTGTGACTTCTTTCCTTTTAAATAATCTAGTGTAGCCCTGGGGAAAACTACATCTTCAGAAGATTTTTGACACTCTGGAATGGGCTTGGCTGAAACAGTGGGGCAGTGACAACTGGGAGGGCTGTCCCAAGGGATGTCGAAATCCTGAGCACTGTGCAATAACCAGAAGATGACACATTTCATCAGCATAGTTTCTTGGAAGCAGCAAAACAAAGTAGAAGAGTATTTTCAATTAAGAAAAAAAAAATATTAAAAAAAAATACAGTCAGTTGGCTAAACATTAATGAATCCAATCAACACTTTATGCTCTCCTGACCTCTGTCAGATTTGCCAGCTTTGGGGGAAAAAAAAAAAAAAGGTTTTTAAAATACTTAAAAAGCAAGGGCTTAACAGAATTTGATACTATTCTTCTGTGAAGGTCCCCCATTTTCATATTAAGCAAGAGGGCAGCGGTCCTTCAGCCCAAGAAAAGAGAAACAGCTTGCCTTTCCTAACCTCCTACTGCAGATGCATTTTCTGAGTAGTGAGTCAGTATCTGTTGGCATCAAAAGTTTCACCAGATTTTGGCATGACACCAGTGCCTCAGGATGGGATCAGTCTCCTAACCCTGAAGCTGGGCAACTCCCCATTGTGCGAACAACTGCAAAAGCTTTCCCAAAACTGTCGAAGAGGAGTCTTGGAAATTGCTTGGCTGCAGCTAAGGAAAGGAAGGTGCAGTTAGCGTGCAACGGTGTCCAGCTGACGGGTGTACAATGGCTGGTTTTGTTTAGACAGTACTGACGTGGTGCTGGGATCATGTCACTTGAAATAATAACGAAAAAGAGGTTTTCTGTGCAACAGATACAGCCACAAAAAAGGCAGCGCCCACCAAAAATTGTTCTCCTGTCCTCACGTTTGTCCTTCTGTCAGGATGGGTTTTTGCAAGCAAGCTCTGTGAACTTAAAAGCTGACAGGCAATAATGCATCTCCAGCTCATTTCCATACACATATGCAAGACCAGAACCTACCAGAAGTTTATTTTAATTGTACATTCACATTTCTCCATTGACGTGGGTGGCTTGTACACTGCTGAGTGATAAAATTACACAGTTATGCTCTTCCATGTGCATTGATTTCAGCCATCAAAGAAACGTAGAAAACTAACAGAACAACCCAACTTTTCCATAGTTCTCTAGTCAGGCTGGGAAAAATTATTCAACTTTTTCTTCCCCTCCCGCCCCTCAGCAACCGAATTCCCCTGGCTTTTCTCTTTTAAATGACTGATAATATATTTTAAGACAGTTTCCTGTGGGTTCTTTGCAATGAAGGTGGCGTTAGGTGTGCACTGGGCTGTACTGCTCACTAGCTCTTGCTTCTCCAGCAGCTCATCTGGGCACATCTTTAGCATCTGTTGCGACCTGCTCTCCGACAGTGATGTGGGACAATATAATTTTTCTTAGCCTGCTACTTTTTTCTTTAGGCTCATCACAAGTCAGTTGCGGCGCTTTACAGATTGCAGACTTTCTTGCCAAGCCTTCTCAGTACACTGAAAGCTATTCAGAAATGACAAAAAATGCCGCAACAAATTAGCACGTACAAACATTTATTTTGAAATTTCCATTCCAACCGTTATGAAGAATTACATCATCAAAGCACTTTATGGCAGTGAAAATAGCTCTTACCCCTCTGACTCATCCATTACTCCATTAAAGCTGCAAAATGTGCAATCTGCTTGAAAAATAGGTTGCTTTTTATTCAGTTTCCCATGAAAAGTCAAAATTCAATAACAAAAAAACCAAAACAAACCCAAAAAAAGGAAAAAAAACCAAACAACCCAGCTTATAAGGACTTTACATCCAATCCTCTCCCCCTTCCCCCAAAAATAACTTACAAAGATAGTTTAAAGTTTTAAATGAGTTTAAAACCAAGTGCATCTTTTTTATTATTTTTTTTCTTCTCATAATAATCTTAAAATTCTAAAAACCCATAATTTACTTTCTTGGAAAAAAGGCAGCGAGCCGTTGCTTCTTGATTGGAAGAATATGTATCTCCGGTGAGTTCATTTTCTTTAGCTTTACGCTCCTGTTTTTGACAGGTTTCCTGAGGGCCTCAGCGCTGTCCCGGGGCTCGGGCGGGCTCTTGACGTCGTAGCACTGCAGCACCGAGTCCTGGGGCAGGTCCCTTTTGAAGGAAAAGTTTTTGGTGGAGACCCCCGACAGGCCCTTGATCTTGCCGCAGAATATGGTGGGCACGGCGTCCTTGACGGAGACGATGACTTTGGCTGTCTGCGAGGTGCTGACGATCTCAATGTTGTTGCCGGCCTTGGGCTCGCAGCTTGCCCT